CTGCTGGCCGGCCGGCAGGCCGGCGCCTGGGCTTAGGGCCCTGGACGGCCTCCTGCCCCACGTGGAAACCAGCGAAACGGCCGCTGCCGCACGGCCGCAGAGGTCGGACCCCGACCCGGCGACTGGGGGGCCTCGGCGCCCCTCGGCCACAAGAATGCAGGACACTGCGTTCAGTGTCGTCCATCAGCGGCACGACAGGGGCCCAGCTCCTTCTCCTGGTACCGCTGCACCCCAGAACGGCACCCCCTTTCCAGGCCTGGATCTTCAGCTCCCAGAGTCCTTCCTCGGGCACGTCGCCCCCCCGGGGTTGGGAGCACCCTGATCTCCACAGTGGGGTACCCGCTGCTCGCTCCCCACGGCGGCGTCACAGACTCAGCCACCGGCCTGGCCCCTGAGCCCAGCACCCCGCCTGCCCGCAGCCCCCCACGGCACCCCGCTGAACGTGTGCCGGGTCCCCACGCCAGGACCCCGCCTCTCCGGGAGCCGCAGCCCCGGGCGCCTGGCGCACAGGCTGAGCTGCACACGCACTCGGCCTGCTTGTGGGCTTCTGTTGTGAGGGGCATCTTCTTCTGAACGCCTGACCCCACCCGGCTATGCTGGGGGCCCAAGCTGCAAGTGGGGGGACCCCCGCCTGCCACGGGCGAGCGACCGGGTGGCTGTCGGGTGTGGGGCTGATGTTGAGTGCAGGGCTCTGTCGTTCCCATAACTTCGGGGAAGAGTCGCCCACCCTCCTGCCCAGCAGGGGTGCGGGTGCTGGGGAGCTCACAGGACAGACGCCCCACAAGCAGACCGAGTGTGGCACAGCTCAGCCTGTGCACCAGGCTCCCCGGGCTGCGGCTCCCCAGGGCAGTGGGGGTTCCAGCGCGGCCCTTGCACACAGTTCAGCAGGGCGCCGCGGGGGCTGGCGGGTGCCCGGCTCAGAGGCCGTGGCCGGGTCTGTGCGAGGCGGCCTGGCGCTGACCGGCAGGCAGCTGTGGCCGCCCTGGGCCCGCGGGTGTCCGGCGTCTCTGTTCGGCAAAGGCTCTTCATGCCCTCGACACACTCGCGAGGCTGCTGTGGTCGCCGGTCAGCGTGAGACAGGTGATGGGCTGGCGAGGCCCCGGAAGCCTGATGCCTGTTGTGCTGGACATGGAAAGAAAGGCCGTGGGGGCGTCGGGGTGATGAGCCTCTGGCCCGCTCCCACCGAGCCGGGAGGCCGGGTGTGAGGCCGGCGGGGGACTGCCCGGGACTGCGGGCCCAGACGGCGGCCCTGGACAGCCGCCCCTCCGGCCTGCGCCTGCGCCTCCCAGTGCGGCTACTGGGCCCTGTCATGGCCCTGGGGGCCCTGAGATGCTTCGGGGTGCGGCCAGCCAGCCCTGAGGCCGCCCTCGGGGGCACGAGCTGTCCCGGTCAGGGCCTCTGCTCTCCCTTTCGGAATTTCTGGTTTTCTGTCTGGAGCCACACTCCACCCCAACTCTTGCGCGTCTCTTGGCCGGTGCACACCCCAAGTTTTTCAGAGTGAGGAGCTCATGGCAAGTCAGAATCAATGAATTTGCAGAGAGGTCTTGGGAGAACAAGGCTCAGCTGCCGGCCGTTACCGGGTCGTCCAGGCGCCGCATGGCCCGCGGCAGTTCCCGCGGCGGCAGTCCGATCGTGCGGGGCTGCCCAGGCCCTGCCTCGCCGCGGGGTGTCCGCCCCTGCACCCAGCCTCGCGAGGCCTCCTGCAGAAACCAGCCTTTCTTCAGGGTCTTCCCCAGAAAGACAAAAATCACGTAAAATTGCCAGTCAGGGAGTCGAATCGATAGAACTGCCATCACATTCTGGGGTAGAGCTAAGATAATGTTTATAATGAAGAATTTCCCTAAACTTCAGGGAAAAGGCAGAAAATTGTTACAAAATTTAGAATTTTGCTCGAATATTAAGCAAAATTCTTATTGTGGACTACAGATTTGTACTAACTAGTTACATCAGTTGAAATCCCCCTCAGACGTATTTACAAGGCTACAAGGAGTTCTGGAGCCCAGCTGGGAACATTTTAAACATAAAAACAGGATTCACGGCAGACACAGTTCAGGAGCCTCTCTCTCTCTCTTTTTTTTTTTAAAAGATTTATTTATTTGTGCATACAGAGCTGGGGCACAGGCCAGAGGCTCAGGGGTGGCGAGAGGCTTCACCAGGGACAGAGTGGGGAGCAGAACAGGCAGATCGCCGAAGTCCACTGCTGAGGGGAGCAGCGGGCGGGTCAGGAGAGGTCTGCCGCGCCCTGTGGTCACCTCCGGGGCAGGCGGGAATCGAACTCAGGCTGAAGCGGCTTTAGCTTCTCAGAGCTGTGCTTTAACCCGCTGCGCCCCCAGGGAGGGCCAGGAGCCTCTCCTTTAAGAGGGGATTGGATAAAGAGGCAAACGTGTAAACTAAATAGAGCAAATAGCCGGACGACGGTCAGCCTGGCGCTCTCAACATGGAGTGAGCCCGCCGCTGCAGTCGGCGCCGGCCTGCGTCCGGAAGTGGGCGCCGCACGGCAGCGTGCAGTTACCCGTTCAGAGAATACCGGCCGGGCTGCACGCTGGCAGATGCCCTTAGAAATCAAGGTAAGCAGAGGTTTCTAGGTGAAACATGCAGAAGGCCCTGCCTGCCCTCCAGGAGCTGAGAGCCGAGCTTGGGGGCGCTATAAATGCTGCCAGCAGGCAGACCCTTGGAAGAACCAGGTCCCATCTTGGTTCCGGATCCAGATGACAGTGCTCCCAAGTCTGTCCGAGGAGAAGGGCCCCGGGAGGTGTCGATAACCCTGTCTGGGGGGGGCGTTATCACAACACCTGGGCTACAAGCCATTTGCGTAACCAAGGCCACCGGCCGCCCTCCACCCCAGCACCCCAGAGCAGCAAAGCCCTCAGCCGCGCTTTTTTAATTTGTCTGGAAAGGAAACAAGCAAACTAACTTACGAAAAGTCTTAGGAAAAAAGACTGAGTGTAACCAACGACGAGAGGGGATTATGACAGGCGTTTGTGGCTGCCCACTGCGTGTTAAAACACTGAATTGCTAGAAAAACTCAAGTCGCGGGAATATTTACTAGCCCGTTCAGGCTGTGGCTGTGTGTCCTGATGGTCACCAGGAGACGCTTCCCTGCCTCCCACTCCTCCCCACAGCTGTGACCCACAGCCTCCTCTCCGGGCGGCGGCCGCCTCACGCACACTCAGGCCCCAGCCGAGCAGGGCAGACCCATCCAGACACCTGTGGGCAGCTAGCGGCGACTCTCGAGTCCGGGCCATGCAGCGCAGGCTGCAGGGTCGCTCTGTCTGCAAGGTCTCAGAGGCCCCATGGGGCCTTTTTGTCTAAATGTGCAAACTCTGGGCCATGACCCAGGTAGATTAGCTCAGAAGCACAGCACCTGAAGAGAAGGGCTGCCTGTGAACGCCCCCCCTTCCATCCAGCAGTCAGGGGTTCACCTCCCTGCTTCAGAGACATCGCAGGCAGCACGACCTTCCGCCAGCACGCCTTGGTTCCCGGCAAGCACACCCCTTTACTGGCAGAGCGTGGACAGCTTCCCGCTAGCTGATTATCCGTGGCTGACGCGTGCTCCCCTTTCCCCTTTCTCGGACCTTCTCCCACCGCCTCACCCCGCCACCAAGCACTAGCCCCTGGCCGGCAGCACTCACTCTCAAGCCCAGTCCTCAGCCAGGAAGGAAAATCTCATGCTTGTGTCTAACTGAAGCAGCCCCACGGCTAACAGACTTCCTGCCCCCCACACCAGCTTCCAGCTTGGTCTTGTTGATGGTTCCCTGGGGTCCCTGAGCCTGGGGCACTGGTTAGGGTCAAATGCTGTTCCCGGCCAGGGAGCAGCCTCGGGGCTGCGGCAGGATCTGCCTCCGGGAGGCTGAGCTCTTCGGGGAAGATGGTGGCCTGTCCTTCCGTCACCCCAGCACCAAACCCATGACGTGCTCAGCCCTCCCAGATCCATAACAGACACAGGGGCTGTGGCGATTGCTGGGGCCCTTAAGCATGTAAATCAGTTGCCTTCCTAGTGGCTCCCGAAACTTGGAATCGGAGGGTCAGATAATTAAGAGTTAATCAGCCCGCAGGAAAGTGTGGGCGGGAAGGCCAGGGCAGCTGTCTGCGCAGGGAAACCTGCAGAGCTGAGCCCTGTCTGCTGGGGTTTTCATTTCCCCCGCAGCTCCGCTCACGTCCAGGAGGTCAGACAAGTAGCCTTAGCTGCTCACGCAGCCTGGCTGGGTTCGCGGGGTGACCTGGAGGGTGCTGGGCAGAGGAGCGGGTCTCAACTGCAGGCTGTGAGGTGGGCGTGCACCACATCCCTCCCCCACAGTAGTAGAAGAGGCTGCTGCAGAGTGAGAGCAAGCCTGCAGAGACCGGCCATATTTTGCAAATTTAGTTGCTGATTTGCAAAGCAACAGACCGGATTGAAATATCAATCTGCCTCGCCCCTGCGCGCCAGGCCCTGCCGTGCAGCCACCTTTCTCTCCGCCCCGCCCACCCCCCAGGCAGCCGCCAGCCGGCGTCGCCCAGCCCAGGCGCCCACTCGGACCTGACCCGCGGAGTTTCCGAGTGAAACGGTTTCCAGTGGGATGACACCAGCCAAGCCTCTTGCCTCACACGTAAAGAAATAGTCCATCCGCGGTGGTAAATCCCGCAGGTCCGCGATGCCGAGCGGAGCAAACTGATTCACCAACACTTTCTTTTCTCTCGACCTAACCTCTTCCTCCCCCTTCCCCACAGAAAACCGAACGAAACAAAACGAAAAAGCCCCCGTCTACAGACTCAGGAGGGGCCCCCACGAAGCCGGCGCCGGCCCCCCGCGCACCCACCTCCACCTCCGCGGGCTGCTTCAGCGGCGCGACGCTGTTGAGCTTCCGGAAGCCGCCGCGGGACTTGGCCGCCTTGTAGATCTTCCAGTAAACGAACACCACCACGCACAGCGGCAAGAAGAAGGCGCCCACGGTGGAGAAGACGGCGTAGGAGGGCTCGCGGCTCACCTGGCACTCCTCGCTGCCCTCGGAGTAGAGCTCCCCCCAGCCGAAGAGCAGCGGCGCCAGCGAGATGACCGCCGACAGCGCCCACGTGAGCGCGATCATGGCTTTGGAGACGCGCTTGCGGGTGCGGAGCGTGTACTCCAGGTGGCGGGTGATGGACCAGTAGCGGTCCAGCGCGATGGCCATCACGTTCCAGATGCTGGCCGTGCAGCAGAGCACGTCGCACGCGATCCACGCCTGGCACAGGTGCCGGCCGAGGCGCCAGCGCCGCCCCGACAGCTCGTGCACCAAACTCAGGGGCATGACCAGAGCCGCCACCAGGACGTCCGAGATGGCCATGGACGCCACCAGGTTGTGCGGCACGCGGTGAAAGGTGCGCACACGGAGAATGGTCGCCAGCACGAGCACGTTCCAGGCAAAGGTCGCTGCCACCAGAAAGCCCAGGAAAGTTAGAACAAGGATTCCGAAGACCGAGAGGAGGGGCTGCCTGGGGCCTGCGTTTTCTACCCCGAGGCTGCCATTGACGTCCAGAGGGGAGGGGGTGGAGAAGGGGAAGTAGGTTAGGTTCCTAGGAAAATCCATCTCTGGGTCTGGAGACCTCGCGGGAGCGCAGGTACGGGACTGGAGCGCAGGCGTGAGGCGCGCCGCCGCCAGAGCAACCCAGATGTTTGCAGTCTCTGGCCAGGGGCGGGTTTTCTGGAAGTGCCAGGGAAATGGCCCGGTCTCCTGCCAGCGAGAAGGGTAGGCTCTGGGCTGCAAGCCGTGGCAAGCGCGAAGCCCTCAGAGGCGGGGATCGGGGTTCACAGCCAGGCCCGCCCAAGCTGTCGCTGCGCCAGCTAAGAGCAGTCTAGTCCCCCAGAACAGAGCATCTCCCCAGTCCGGGAGAAGCGCAGGGCTCCGGAGCGAGTGGGGGCCGGGAGAGGGGCTGGTGCGTCAGAGCAGCAGTTCTCGTCACCTCCCTCCGAGCCTCTCTCCAGACAGCAGCGGGTGGCAGCCTCGTCTCCAAGCTGGGAAACGGGGGAGAGACCTGCTTTCCCAGCCCTGCCTCCGCTGTTCCCCGCCCCCCTCTGCTCCCGTCTGGGGCTGCCGCTCCAAGAGGGAAGGCTGGGCGCCCACCCAGACCGGCCTCCGCCAAGTAGGGATCCGGCCTACGTAAGGCGTCAGCTGATGAGGCCGCCTCCCCTCCGGCCCCGCCCCCGCCCGCGCGGGCGCTGTCCACGGTGCTGCCGCACGCTGCCCGCCCCGGGCGCTGTCCGTGGTGCCGCGCCGCTCGCCGTCCAAGCCGGTGGTGTCCAGGGTGCCCTGGCTTCTCCCTGAAACGGGCTCCCGCTTGACCTAAGCTTGCCAATTAACTTTGGCCACCCCTCTCCATCTTCCCAGGGTGGTCTGGCGCCCTGAGCGTGTTCTCAGCGTCACATCGCTGCGCACTCTGTGCCTGCGTCCTAAGAAAAGGGCCTTTCTTCCCGAAAGAACCGCTTCCTTCTTACACAGCACCAGGGTTTCCCTTTAAGGGTGGTCTCCCTTTAAGGGGAGAAGGCGAGATAGCCACGGCTTCTGGCCCTAGAGGTGTCGGAGGCAAAACCTTTCCCCAGAAACATGAAGAGTATGCAGCCTCTGCAGGCCTTAGTAGGCTCGCTTCCCGTGAAGGCGAAGTACACATAGCAGATGTTCTAAAAGCCCCATCTGGCTTGGAAAGGGGGGCAGCACGTGACCCCTTCCAGACACACGGACAACCGCACACTCACACCATAGTGGTCGACAAAGCACAGGAGCTCCTACCCAGAGCAGTGCCTGAAAGCCCTTCACATACAGCGCAGCCAGGGGCAAGGGTGTTGCCCACGGCAGGGCACTGTCCACGCACACGCCATAGGTGGCGCGAGGGCTGGTGGTGGCCGCAAGTTTCATCAGAAACTGCTATTGGAAGACTTGATAGAAACGTGTTTTTGTATACACAATGTTTCAGACAGGGTAAAACAAACAGGACAAAGGAGCGAGAGGGGAAGCTCCTTCACTGGAGCCCCGAGGCGGAGACACGTCCGAGCATGCTGGTAAGTGGGCGCATGCCTCACTGGGCGTCCCCACGCAGGCGGCGCTGTGGGGAGTGGCCTCGCGGGGCTCTAGCCAAGGGCCCTCGCGCTCGCTCAGAGCGCACCACCCTGGCCGTGAGTCACCTGGGATGAGAAGCAGGTCCTGAGTCCACTTGATGGCCTCCTGGGCACCCCACTGGTGAGCAGGGTGCAGACATCCAACCCCAATGCTAGAGGAGACCTGCAGCAGGTGACCAGTCGCCAAGCCCACAGCCGGGGGGGCCCACCCAGAGCCGCCCGGACGCCCGGGGACCCGCGGGAGGAGAGGGCGGGCGGGTCCCCAGGGCCCAGGCGATGGTTGGACATTTGGAAGTTTCCCGCTGGCGGGAGGGAAAGCCCTTGGCAGGAGACCAGCTGGGGCCGTGGGGGTGGGGGGGCAGCGCTGAAAGGGGAGCCCCAGGGGGGCCGGCGTGCAGCGGTGGGTCCTCCCCACTGTCCTGTGCCCGAGGTGGGCCTGAGGGCGAGGCCACGCACTTCCCGCCCACAGTCGAGTCAAGCAGGTCGCAAGCCAAGTTCTGACTTTTTCCTCCTTCAGCTGCTCACAGGTTCCCCGGGACCCCCAAGGTGGAGGTGGCCCTGGCCTGGTGGCGCAGCTGGGAGGGGGCTTGACGCCGCCAGCGCTGTGTGTCTCAAGGGCAACCGCGGGTCCCCAGGGGCGGGGCACACGTCGCTTCTGAACCTTTGCCCCAGGAGAGATGCTCTTCCAGGCCGCCCCTCCGGCCTCGCCAGCCGCGCGCCCTGCTGGCGCCCGGTGCCAGTACCGCGGCAGACGGGGAGGCGGAGGGGCGGCGTGGCCTCCCTCAGTGTTTCCCGGCAGTGGACACGCCCCAGGAGTCGAGGGGACAGGGAGGTGGGGATCTGCGCCGTCACTCAGGGAATGTCCCTCCAGAGGTGGGCGGGGGACGCCCGGAACGCTCTTTCCATGTAACAGGGAGGTCGCTCACCTTGTCGGGGTTATCGGGGTCGGCTTGGCGCTCACACCCCGACTGGGACTTGGGACTTATTGAGGGGCCTCTGGCTCAGGGCTTCCCTTAAGCTGAGCAGCTTTGTTAGCCACTTGGGAAGCGGGGAGAAGCGCCAGCATCGTTCTCTCAGCGCAGGGCCTGCTGGGGCTCTGGGGTGTCAGGGCGGCGTCCGAGAAAGCCCTGAAATGAGGGCGGCGTGTGTGCGGCTGCCCGGGTGAAGCAGCTCGCCAGGGACAGCGCTCTGCAGACGCACGACGGCCGGGCCGGCCGGCCAGACAGGTGCCCACTCAGGACCGCCGCGGCCTGCGCCCGCGCCTGTAAGGCCAGTGCTGCCGCCCTCAGGTCTGGGCTCGGGGCGGGCCCCCGGCATTCGGCGGGAGCGTCCACTCGACTCCCCTCCCCACTGGCCAGGGAGCCCCCGAAGCTGCTCTCCACCGCGTGGGCCCCATCCGAGTCCACACGCGTCCTCGAGTCCACTGCCCCAGCAAGGACAGGACAGGGAGCCGGCTGAGGAGTCGCTCGGAGGGCGGCGTCCTGCCCGGGACACCACGCTCGCTGCGGAGACCTGCGGCGCCGCCTTCAGGGCGGCCTGAGGGCCAGGGGCTGACCGGCTGGGACTCCCGGACCCCAGGGGCTGACCGGCGGAGCAGTCACCCTCACCTGCCCCGCTTCTGGCAGTGCGGCCAGTGCCTCCCGCGGGGGGAGCCCCAGGCAGACGCTGAGTGCGGGGCGCCCGCCAAGGCAGAACTGGGCCCCCCAACAGTGCCCCTGCAGAGCTTCTCCACAGCCTGGACACCCCGCAGGGGCTGGGCGGTTTCCTCATATCCGGTGAAGGGCCCAAGCCCCTCTGAAGGAGGTTTGC